ATATATATAAATGGGACTATTTCCTACATATCTTGATATATCTTGATATATATAAATATATATATTTATCTTGATAAAGATATCTTTATCTTTATTTTATCTTGATATATTTATCTTGATATATCTTGATATATATATAAATATATATATTTCCTAGGGAAAGGAAGCAGTTAAGGAGAAACACATACACATGCACACACAATTCTGGGTCTCAATTCTAGGTCCCTATTATAAAATCAAAGTAGATTCCTCACAGGGTCCCTGTGAGGATAAATGACATCAAATGTAAGGACACATGGTAATCATGGTGGGTTTGCGTTCATTTATTTTAAAGATAAAGATAATACATGGTTCATCAAAGAAATTCAAACAAGAGCCATTTATAAATGACAGTAGTAAATGAAGGAGTTGGGTTGGAAAGGGAGGAGATGAGTTTTCATTTTTAACTTTACCAATTTCCCCTTTGTTTGAAATGCCATGTGTTAATTGTGTAATTAGATGTATATGCAAAGAAGAAAATGTGAAATTACTTCTGAGATGTTCACCAAATTCAGTGACATAAAAAGTATTCACTCCTCAGGCACTTGAATTTTAAAAACTATACAATCAACTATGTAACACTATACACCTGTGAATGAGAACTAGACGATAACATACAAACAAGGAAAACAGTTTGTTTTCTTGGAATGGACAGATTATGGTCATCCCCTCGTAAATATTCTCTGATATGCCTGCTGCATCCCCTTTCCAATAGTCTGTTCTTAAGAAGATGATATGTACTGGGGTGCCTGGGTGGCTCAGTCAGTTGGGCGTCCAACCGACTCAACTTTGGCTCAGGTCAGGATCTCATGGTTCTCAATGTGCAAATCCCACACTGGGCTTTGCACAGATAGCGCAGAGCCTGCTTTTAATTCTCTGTCTCCCTCTTTCTCTCTGCCCCTCCCCGCTAGTGCTCGCACTCTCCCTCTCTCTCTCTCTCAAAAACAGATAAGCATTAAAAAATTAAAAAAAAAAAAAAAGATGACATGTACTATCAAAGATGTTCACATGGTCTCAGAGCACTGTGAGATCAAACCTAGCCACGTTTCCTGTTTTAACACTTACTTCAAGTTCTGACTCAACCTCCCCAACCTGCAGTTTCTCCCCTCTAACTCTGGAGACTTTTATCCATATCAGTGAGACGCAGGTGGGTCCTACTGAGCTTCTGTGCCTCCTTAGTCAGGCCCAACGATTTCTCTAAGGATGAGAGAGTTCCATCGCTAGACTCCCCAGGGGTATAGGGACCAGTCATATGGCTGTCCTCCCCAGACATGGAGATTAACATAAGGCTCCAGAGGGATACGTAACTTTGAGGACCACTGACCTAGCTCCTTTATTTAGCAGTATATCTAACCTTCCAGGTGATGTCTCCTATGTTATTGTCTCATAACATAGGAGACAATATTATCTGTTATTATCTAACTGTTCATGACCTTCTGCTTCATTTTTCCAGCTGCTTATATAAATTCCTGAGTGTGAAGAGTGTATCTCAATCAGTCCTTATCAACACTCCTTGCTGCCCACTTCGCACAGTGTCTCGCACGCAGCTGATTTATCTATCACATACACAGAATGGCTCAGTGACATAGAATTCCTACATTTGTCCCTGTTTTTGAAGTGAGAAACTGAGGCACAGAGCAGTCAATTAATGTTAGGGACTCATTAGTATCACACAATGAGGAAAGCACAGCCTGGCGGATGCAGGCCAATTACACTCTACCACACCACGTAATGCTTCCTACAACTAGAAGCAGTTGGGCGTGGGGGTAGGGACAGATCACTTCCCTAGGGAAAGGAAGCAGTTAAAGAGAAACAAAGAAAGAAAGGTTAAGGAGAGTTTCATCCAAAAATAACTGGTTTAATAAAATCCAAAGTTAGAAACCAGGTCATTTGTACCGAGGGAAGAACAGGTGAGCACAGTGGTTAACACAGAGACTGTGGGGGCGCCTGGGTGGCGCAGTCGGTTAAGCGTCCGACTTCAGCCAGGTCACAATCTCGCGGTCCGTGAGTTCGAGCCCCGCGTCGGGCTCTGGGCTGATGGCTCAGAGCCTGGAGCCTGTTTCCGATTCTGTGTCTCCCTCTCTCTCTGCCCCTCCCCCGTTCATGCTCTGTCTCTCTCTGTCCCAAAAAATAAATAAACGTTGAAAAAAAAAAATTAAAAAAAAAAAACAAAACACAGAGACTGTGCTAACAACTTCAGTGCCTTGAAGCTAATTCAAAAAATCCAGGTGGATTGTAGCCTTGCATCACAAAAGCCAGCTTGGCAGATGGACTACCTGCTACATTTCAACTGCTGCCATCCCTCTTAGTCAAGTGCCTTGTGCAGTGAACATGCGGCACAACCATACAGGATAGCACCAGGTGGAGGAGAACACAACTCCAGAGTCAGGTAACCTGGAGTGAGAGCCCAATTCCCAAGCAGCTTCACTACGTGACATCAGACCTATCTGTGTTCACTTCTCTACATTTTCTCATCTAGAAAATGAGAATGATTACAGTGCTTATTTCACATGGTGATTATAAAATGATTAAATAGTCCAATACTAGTGGCTTAATGTACAAGAAAGGCTTGTAAGTGTTGCAACTATGAAACTACTTTACTGTGCTTGACATAAGCCCAAAATGCAGAGTAATGAGATCTAGTTAGAGATATTTATGAGTCACACATTTGGGAATGGATTTGGGATTGGAAATGAAGAAAAAGGGAAATCGGTTCCTGCTTTTGTAGAACATTACATAGTCTACTCTGAAACCAGAGCAAACAATTAATGATACAAATGCCACATCCTTAGTGTTTCTCTTCATTTAGGAAGATTTAAGCATGCAAAAACCTAGACCTCTCAGCAAATGGACCTATTTCCAAATAGGAATTGTGATATGTATTTCCACCCACTAAAAAATTGCGAAAATCATTTCAATAGCACTTTAGGGTCCAGCACCATACCTAGTACGACAGATATTTGCCAAACGCATGGGTTTCATTGTATTCCTTCAGAAATCAGGAGCATGGACATCTTCCTGCTCATTAGTACCTGTGATTCCTTTAGCCCCAAGCTGATGGCAAGTTTCTTTCGGTCTGTTTTGCTGATATATTTCTGCTTCTGAAACATTTTCTCCAGAGCCTTTCTCTGATCCTCAGAAAAAACAGCTCTTCTTAAAATACCCCGCCGAGCTTTGGAGTTCGAGTCCTGGGTCAGGAGGGACAGCACATTCTCTTCTCCTAGAGGGGGAAAACATATACAAAACCTGGTTAGCTTTATTAGTAAGGAGAAGTCAGTCTGCCTTTCCCAGGACAGCATCTTCCTTCTCTGTACTATGGCCAAACACTCTTATCTCTGAACTCTGCACACTTTGAGCAGTGCTTCTTCCATGTTTTTGGTCATGGACTCCATTGAGAATCTGATAAATGCCCTTCACTCCCCAATGAGATAAAAGTACATCTGCTCGCCCTCCCAATTTGGGTGCCACGTTAGAAAGTCCATGGTCCCATGGGGTGCCTGGGTGGCTCAGTTGGTTAAGTGTCTGACTTCAACTCAGGTCATGATCTCATGGTTCATGAGTTTGAGTCCCGCATTGGGCTCTGTGCTGACAGCTCAGAGCCTAGAGCCTGCTTCAGATTCTGTTTCCCTCTCTCTCTGTGCCGCCCCCCCACCCCCGACTCATGCTCTCTCTCTCTCTCTCAAAAACAAACATTAAAAATTTTTAACGTTTTCTCTACTTCTTCATTTATTTATTCATCTGTTTTCTCTCTCAACAAAGTTTGAACACTTACCATATTCCAGGCCGTCTGCTCAATGCTACACATTGAGAAACAAGATAAATATATTTTATTATATGCATTACCTGTAAGATTTAGTGGAAGGCATTTATTTTTATTTATTTTATTTTTAACTTTTTAATACTACTTATTTTGCAATAAAATAAATAGCTTTTGAATTTTCAGTATTGTTCTTTTCTTCCTTTTTTTTTTTTTTTTTCCAGAGAGAGCACACGCAAGCAGTAGAGGGAGAGAAATTCTTCATCAGGTTCCACCGGGAGGGCCTAGCATGGCCCAATGCAGGGTTCGATTTCATGACCCTGAGATCATGACCTGAGCTGAAACAAGAGATGGATGCTCAACCGAATGAGCCACCCAGGTGCCCCTGGAAGGCATTTACTCAACTAGCATCACAAATGTGAGGATGTATTCCTAAGGAGGGTGCCTTGGGAGCACAAAGCAAGGGTCTGATCTTAATTTGGGATGTCAAGGAAAGCTTACAGGAGTCAGAGATGTTCAATCTGAGAAAGGAAGTTTGGAAGACCCCTAACTTTTTCTGCCTTTTGCACAACTGGTTCCCACCCTCTGAGAGTTTCCTTCATCATTCACCATTTATTCATTCATTTGGCTTTCCAGCTGTGATAGGCAGAACAATGGCCTCCCCAAAGATTACATACTATGTATGTTCCCTAGAACCTGTAAATATGTCATATTACATTACAAGGGAAAAGTAAGGTTCCAAGTGTAGTATCAGTTGCTAATCAACTGACCTTGAGATTAGAAGACATCCTGGGGTATTCTAGGGTATCCAGGTGGGCCTAATGTGATCACAAGGGTCCTTACGAGTGGAAGAAGGAGAAAAACAAGGAAGTCATAGTCAGAGATTTACTCTCTCTGATGCTACACTCTTGCTTTGAAGATGAAGGAAGTGGCCACAAACCAAGAAATGTAGACGGCCACTAGAAACAGGGAAAGGCAAGAAACAAATTCTCCCCAAGAGCCTCCAGAAGGAACACAGCCCTGCTGACACTTGATTTTAGTCCAGTGAGACCCATTTAAGGCTACTGAACCCCATAAATATAAGATAATAAGCTTCTATTGTTTTAAGACAGGAGATTTGCAGAAATTTGTTACCACAGCAAAAGGATACTGATACCTGGTATCAGACTAACTGAGCTTATTTGAGGAAACCAGACACAGCACATGGTCCCTGCCCTTAAGGAGCTCACCTTCTCATGGGAGGACTAACACATGAACACCACAGCAGAATATAAGCACCAGGGGAGCAGGGATTCCAGTTTATGGCTATAGCTGGTATGCATTCTGCTGCTTAATAATTATTTCTTTAAAATTTTTTTTTTAATATTTGTTTATTTCTGAAAGAGAGAGAGACAGAGTGTGATTGGGGAAGGGACAGAGAGAGAGAGGGAGAAACAGAATCTGAAGCAGGCTCCAGACTCTGAGCTGTCAGCACACAGCCTGATGCAGGGCTTGAACTCATGAGCCGTGAGATCATGACCTGAGCCAAAGTCAGATGCTCCACAGACTGAGCCACCCAGGCGCCCCAAAAATTACATCTAAATAAAAAAGCAAATGAATGCCTTAAACCCTAGAATAGAATGCTCTATGAAATTCTCTGGTATCACAAAGGAGGAAGTAATCAGTTCAGAGAAAGCAGGTTGAGCCAAGTCTAAAAGAACAATCCAGTTCAAGAGAGAAAGAACCAAGGCCAACCTAAGCAGAGTGACTGCATGTCTAAAAGCACTAAGGCACACCTATAAATACAGAGAACAAACTGATGGTTGCCAGAGGGGAGAGGGGTGAAGGGCTGGGCAAAATGAGTTAAGGGGAGTAAGTAATACAGGCTTCCAGTTATGGAATGAGTAAATTATGAAAATAAAAGGCACAGCACAAGGAATATAGTCAATGATATTGTAATAGTAATGTATCGGGACAGATGGTAGCTATACTTGTGGCAAACACAGCATAATGTATAAACTTGTTGAATCACTGTGTTGTACACCTGAAACTAATATAACCTTGTGTGTCAACTACACTCAACATTTTTCTAAAAAGCATTAAGACATGAAGGAATAAAGTTTATCTGAGGAAAAGTAAACAGTCTTCAAGGCTGGGGAAAGGCATGAAGCAGCAGGTGCAAGCTGGCACCCTTATCCAGCCTGCAGATGGGCTTTGCTGGTCTTAGAATTCTGATTGAGCTGTCCACATTTCACAACTAGGAGATTTCATGTGAAGTCCAGGTTTCTGACATCTCTTCAAAGGGAACCACACTAGGCTCACCTTCCCAGAAAGTAAAGAGCTACCAGAGAACGCAGCAGGTGCCCCCTCTTGATGGAACATGTGGCCCCCAGTCTGTCACAGCCTCACCCAGCTTACCAGGCTCTTGAAGACATTTGGACCTTTGACATAGAGATTAGAGTGGAATGGGGCCAGGGCATAGAGGATTATAAGAGTCTGGGACATTATCCAACAGTAGTGAAAATCAAGAGGAGATGTTTAATCAGGGTGTGACATGATAATGATAAACACACAGTACTCTGTACCATTATATTTACTCTGTGTTAAGCCACTGACACACATTAATTCATTTAATCATCCCAACCTATGCCATCAACATTACATACTATTATTTTCCCCATTTTACAGATGAATAAAATGAAGATCAGATAGTTTAAAAAACTTTCTCCAAGGGCACATGGCTAGGGTTTCAAACCCAAAACAACTCATTTCAAAACAAAGGCTCCCAACCCTACACAATATATTCTAACACAATGTGACTTATATTTTAGGAAACAAGTGTCAACAAATGAATAAATCTTGTCAAATCTCCTTCTGCAATATGATACTTCCTTTCCTATTGGCTAAAAGATTGCAGATCATCTCCCAATGTGTCTCTCAGCCCTGGTTTATATCTCATTCTGGTTCCTCCTCACATTGCTAGAAGGACCACTGGCCTCTCCCTCTTTCCTTCCAGCTCTGTTACACTTGCATCTCCTTAGAAATGCCATAGCTTCTGGGATGTAATCCAGCCTAATTCTTTGCAAAGGTCTGCTTTTACTGATGCTCTATCCATCCATTCTATCATGAGATCTTGGTTAGTTTTCCATCTAGAGCATCATTTCTTTCTTTTGCCTGTCACATGCCAAGGCCATATCTTGAAGTCATGTTTTGACAACTGCATTCACTATTTCTTTATCAAAGATTTAAGTAGCTTTATGAACTCTTGGTCAATAAAAAAAAATATAACTCAATATGTTCTTTTTCTAAATGCTCTTCTCTGAATTTTTCTTGGTATAGAGACTATGGAATTGGCCCTCCTGCCACAGGAACTCAACTGTTGGGATGATGTCTCTCCAGCACAAAGGACTTTGAAATATGAGATACAGAAGAACTGGGCTTGGATCACTGCACTTACCTGTATGACCTAAAGCAAGTCACTCAGCTTCTTTCAGCTTATCTTACAGGGTTGCTCTAAGGATTTGATGACATAATACAAGAAAATTTCAGTGCCTAGCCCACAGTAAGGATCCCACAAATCTACCCACTTCCATTTGTTAGATTTCATTTGATTCTTTTTCTTAAAGTTTATTTATTTGGGGGGGAGGGTCGGGGGGGGAGCACAGAGAGAGGGAGACAGAGAATCCCAAGCAGGCTCTGTGCTGTCGGCACACAGCCCAATGCAGGGCTCGAACTCACAAACCATGACCTGAACTGAAATCAAGTCAGATGCTTAACTGACTGAGGCACCAGGTGCCCCAGATTTCATTTGATTCTTCTAAGAACCATATGGCACAGACATCCTCTGTATAGATGAAGAGGACCTTGTGAATCAAAATTCTTGGCTCCTTCCTCTGGCCCACACTGTTTCTTTACTCAGATGTTACAACATGTCAAAATGGAAGGGAGGAAACACTTATAAAAGCCAGAGTTCCTGTCTGTGACTATAGGCTTCTGACCCCTGTCCTGGGCCTGTCTGTGAGCCTGACTACATGGTATCTCCCATACAGCCTAATAACTGTGTCCTCAAATTTAGCATGCCCTATCACTTGATTTTTTGATTCTGGCATTTTTAATTTGTTAATGTATATAATCTATCATTATAATAGCCATATGTATTAAAAATTGGGGGAAAAACTAAATATGCAAAGGTAAAGAAATGTATATGTATATTATACTATATCCACTTGGTGAAATTATTTAAAGAACTATGAAGATCAAGCAGCAGCAAAGAAAATCTGCTTTAATGCGTACGATAAGATCCATACTATGTTTACAACTAGATTAAAATGCAGGGGAAAAAAAGACTGAAAAAGCAAAAATAAATACTAAAATAGGGTACTGTACAGTTATGGACAAATAATTCATATCTATTCTGCATTTTAAGTGTGGTCCTATTTTCTAAGGAAAACAAGCAAACACTATAGCAACCTTTTTGGGAATAA